GTGTTCTAGATTTATAGTTGAAAATGCATCATAAATTTGAGTTATGTTGATCCTTGTATATACAACTTAAGTCTTGCATTGATGCATGGATTTCCTTCAAGTGGAATGATGCTTTTATTGTCAAACTTGTGACATTTGGGCTTCTAATAGTGGGAACTTAATCATATAGGAAATGCTTGGGATGGTTAGAAACTGAACTTGTTTTTGGATGAAAATTTTAAAGAACTTTATGTGAGAAATTGGGCTTTCCGACCATTGTTCACAGTGCTGGGGTATTCTCAATAAGAATTTATATAGTTCTGAAAGGCAATAGTGGATTCTGATAGACTGGCTTCTATTGTAATGGTGGAAAAGCTATAGGCCTTCTGCTGTTCTGTGTTTTAGGTGATACCTGAATTAGCCTAGAAATCTCATGGCTCAAGTGGTATAATTTATTCTATGCATTAATGGTGGCATTGATGGTTGAAAATCTAAGTGCTACAAGCTTCTTAATTAGCTGAATATTTGTCTTCTGCGTGTGATCATAATAACAAGTCAGCTTGCAATTTGCTTATGACATCTTTGTGAATTTTGCATTTTGCAGGAAGAAATTCATGAGTTGCTTCTGAGTTTTGCTGAAGCTGGGGCAAATGTTGTGAGACTAAAAGGAGGTGATCCGTTGGTATGTCTCTGGCTTCGATGTTTGGTGTATGCTTATACATTTATATATAGTGGATTTTTACAATTACATAGTTGAAAGTTTGGAGCATTTGTTGGAATATCAGGTATTTGGACGAGGAGGAGAAGAGATGGATTTTCTTCAACAAAAGGGAATTCAAGTTAAAGTTATTCCAGGTATGATAAGTTTGTGAATCCCGCAAAAAACTTGATTGAGCTGAAAACTGCAGAATGCAAATCTTCCCAAGTGTCATTCAGTTGGCTGGCTTGCAAACTCTCACTCACAATAGTTTTTAATTATGGAAGATGTTTCAATTTAGAGAAGGAGTATGTACATACTGGTAGAAGAAAGTAAGTTTTTGTCAGTATTAGTTTAGGGAACAAAAGGCAAGTTCTCTCCGTAATAACATAGGCTTGCAACTTCAAGTAAATCACGTCTTTTTTTCAAATTTTATCTGTCTTTGCAAGATTTTCCATTTAGTTTAGATGTCAACATTTAAATCTTGGCCTCTGTTGAAGAGGACATTAGTTTTTCTGAAAAACTTTACAGATTCTCCCTTGAGAATCCAACTTTACTTATTATGAGCCGATTAATAACCTAAACTATGTTTTCTCCAAAAGGCAGCTATTGCTGCATCTGCCAACATTCAAAATCACTTGTGCAGTTAAATGTTTACCAATATTTAGGTCATAGGTAGTTCCTTTAGTCTACTAAAGGATTTAATTTGCTTTCAGACTCCACCTGCACTTTCAAGTGTAAATTTTTATAGGTGAGAGTGGGCTAGTTATGTGTCGTGTGTAATTAAATATATATTGGAAGAAGTGCGATATACTGGTCAAAGTGAAATCTGATTCTGTCATACACAACTTGAGGTAAGCCTCATTCTAGTCATTTCATTTCAGGTATTACTGCAGCATCTGGGATATCGGCGGAGTTGGGAATTCCATTAACCCATCGAGGTGTCGCAAATAGTGTTAGATTTCTCACTGGTCACTCGAGAAAAGGAGGAACAGACCCACTTTTTGTTGCAGAGAATGCAGCTGACCCCGACTCCACATTAGTTGTTTATATGGGCTTGTCAACTCTTCCTTCCCTGGCTTCAAAGCTCATACATCATGGGTTGCCAACTGATACACCAGCTGTTGCCATTGAGCGAGGGACGACACCTCAACAACGCATGGTAAGCGAGCCCAGTTGCTTCTCTTTCATTTTTTCCTTTCATTTTTTGCCTGGGATGCTGCTTTTGTCTGCTACCTTTGAGAATAAATCAATTGTTATTTGCTTTCTGCAAGCGAGAAGTTGGAACAATAATTCACAGACATGCATTTAGGGAGAGGATGTTTAAATGAATATTTCAACCTTTCTTCTTGATAAATTAGATATGCTCAAAAAAGTACTAGGATAAAATGAATGTTACAACAAAAGGTCCTTCTGCCAAAATGGACCTCTACTTCTCCCCCAAGGTTTTGAGATTTTTCTGATGTTGACCTTCCAAATGAGACAAAGCACTTTAAGTTGCACAGATATTACAACAATATAGTGCAAGTATCTTTGGTCCCTTAATGGGGTATATTGACATCATTAGAACCAATTTGATCGCCTCATAAAAGCTGAAGTTAAGCTTGACCTTAACTGGCATAAAACAGAAAAATGTTTTTTTTTGGTCACAAGCTACTCCATTGGTTTCAGAGCTCTAGGTTTTTAGAAATAGTACACTCGTAGCCTTTGCCTTAAAGCTACCACCTCTGTTCTCACATCATATTCAACTTCATGGGTAAGCAATTGGACAAGGGGTAACCTTCACCAATCAAGGATTAAACTTGGTCATATTGCTTATTGATGTAGTATTTGAAACAACTGGAGGAAGTGTTATTCTTCGCTAGTTTAGACATTCTTTTCTGCCCATGTAAGCATTCAACATGACAAGGATGTGGGATTGCATTGCTGATTACAGTTTCCTTGTAATTCATTCAGGTGTTTGCAGAACTGAAGAATCTTGCTGATGATATCGTATCTCACCAGCTAGAGTCACCAACCTTGATTATCATTGGGAAGGTGGTAGCTCTTTCACCATTATGGCCGAATTCCACTGAAGAGACTCCTATCTTGGTCGAGACAAATTCTTCAACCAACACATTGCAATAGGCCAGCCTCACTGAATGGGATGATTATTTGTGATGCCAAAAACCTCATCTCTTTCCTGCAGCCAAGCTGGACACTGCTGCATGCTAAATGATGTGTAACTATATCAATTCTCTTTCAGATTGTGCAGTGAAGTCTAGTACAATAAAGGTGATTTCATTTCGTGGTGCTATGGCGATATGTGGAGGAGAATCTTCAGCCAGCATGAACTCAACGGGGCGGATCTTTACTCTCATTCCAATAACTTGACAACTCTGGGTCTATTTTCAAGAGCCAACAAGTGACACTAAGATTTTGACGGTGTCCGATTCTTTAAGAAAATACTAATCCATAAGCATTTATCAAGAGGCACGATATGTTTTATCGAATAATTGATAATTTTGTAAAATGAGTTGGAAGGATATTATGTTGATGGTCTTCTTGGTGGTGTAATTTTATAAGTTGCCTATTTCTATTTTAGTTTGGTGCCATCGTTGTCATTGATTGTATCTCTTATCCTCTTGTTGTTGAGCAAGACTGCCTTCCTATGAGGTGTTTCAGTTGATTTCTCTATACAGGGAAAATCTGGGTTTTTATGTTAAAGCCAAGTCCAAGCTCCCAATGTGTATTTAGGCCCAACTCATAACCTATCCGATAACGATCAATAACCAATATCGTACTAGTTCTTTTAAGGGATAATTGTACAGAATGACAAACTTATAATCTAAAATAAATAGAGTAGCTACTGTTTGATTTAATTGCGCCCCGTAGCAAACGTTTGCCAGTTGCCTCTCTCCCTCCAAATTCTCGCTCGCCACTCTCCCTTTCTCGCTCGCTCCCTCTGTGCTCGCCTCTCTCGCTTTATACAACAGAATTGTATAAATTGCGTTTCTGTTTGTATAAAGCGAGAGAAAATTGTATATACACATGCAAATACATATATATTC